CAGCATCATTTGCATTTCTCTTCAGCAATGAAGAGTGCGAATTGCTTGCATCCATGACAAAATGTGAGACTCAGCTAATCGGTGTGGTTTTGATGATGCCACAATTCTGCCCCAAACCCTTGTAACTAGCAAGTTTACCCTGAAGATTATCGAATTACTCCCCGACCATGCATTATTCAAAGGGCAGTGCTATTATTATAGAAGCTAGTTGTTGAGCCCTTGGAATTCTGTTGGCCAACTTTCAAGATATAGCAGTGTGTCATGACTAAATATTATGTCAACTCATAGGAGAGTCAGAGTCTAGGTTAACTGGTGGTCAACTTGTCTGCTAAGTAATATTTTGGTCTACATACTAGGAAATCTCTGAAGCAAAATTTTTGACAAAACAAATAAGTATGTAAATATTCAGTGCTAGGGCTTTGTCAGCAAGAAAAACATCTGTGGAATGTTATACATGCTTGTTTTCTCTAATATTTGAGTGAGTATGTAGTCATAACGTCAGTACAACTGAACTCTGTGCCTGTACCTCATTTTAGAAGGGACTGCCCCAGCCCACCTGTTGTTTACTGTTGCATTGAGTAAGGGTAAATGAACACTGAAGCATCTTAGAGAATTCAAATGATAAATAGAAAACAAATTTTTACCACCTAAGTTTGAAAATATCTGAACCTCTATCTCAAAGCCAAAGCAAATGGCTTCCAACCATAGCAAATATTTACCCTCGAAGAGTTTTCTCTTCCATATCTTCATAGAATCTCTGGAATAGGAAAAACCACCACAGACATTCACTGGGTTTAACACAGGAATCTGCTCCTAGAGACTATGATAGGTGTTCTTATGGCCTTTAGTTAACTGCTTTCTGCCAGGGGCTATTCATTACTTTTGGAAGAAGTCTGTCCTGTTTTTAACATGGGTCTGTTAAAAAACTTTTTTCCCTATATTAAGCTATTATTTGTTTCCCTATAACTTTCCAATCTTGATTCTGCCTACCAGAGCAGTTATATAAAGAGGGGGAGGGTTTATTTTTTCTTTTAATATAATTTTTATTATTATTATTATATTATATTTCATAAATCAGATAATGAAAATAATTCTTTTTAGAAAACGTCATCCCTTTCTTTGTTTTCCCCCAGTTCCCCTTTTCAACCTTGCCCACAAATTGCATAGTTTGTTTTATACATAGTGTGTACTGAATACCATGATTGCATTCATTCACTCTTCCTCTGCTTTTTTATTTTTGGTTCCAGTCATGGGGCCTGAACTCTGGGCCTGGGCGCTGTCCCTCAGCTTTTCAGCTCAAGGCAAGCACTCTACCACTTGGGCCACAGCACCACTTCTGGCTTTTTTCTTTTTGCTTATGTGGTGCTGAGGAATCGAACCCAGGGCCTCATGCATGCAAGGCAAGCACTCTACCACTGAGCCACCTTCCCAGCCCTTTTCCTCTGCTTTTTAAAGGCAAGGATGGAACGATTAAATTTGTTTCATTTAAAAAATAGTGACTAAAATTAGCTAAAATTTAGAAGTCATTAAAATACCACTTTTATCCAAATAGACACTCCATCAAATTATTTTATTGACTTTCCAATAAACTATATTGTGTCATGCTTCTTGTTTTAGCCCATAACAGGAAATATTTTTATTGTGGCTCTGGAGAAAAAGAGGACTGTGAAGCATTTGAAATGAAGGACAAAACATTGTCCCACAGTTATTTTCTGTCTGTTAGTGAGAAACTCTTATTGTTTATCAAACATCCTAATATTGAACTAGAAATCAAGCCTACAGGACTCTTCAAAAGATGAATTAAAACTTGAAAAGGCATAGGTAAACACTTGTCATATTCATATATTTTTGAATAGGGCACAATGAGTCCATTGTAGGCATTATGAATAGACAAAGAAAAAATCTCTCTCTAGAATTATGGTAGCTAGTGATAGCTGATAGTTGTGTTTATGGGAAAATACCACTGCGTCAATAACTTTTCAGAAAACAAAGATGAACCTAAGATCAACTTTCCATATGGGACATTATGTTTTGTAAGTCTTAAAATTATCTGTTCCAAAGTTTACCAGCCTATGGACTAAAAAGCATAGTATTAAAAACCCTGGACTACAAGTTTCTTTAAAGACTGAGCCACATCAAACTCTGAGCTCATTTGAAAGAGACAACAAAACAGGTGTGCGGGGTGTGTTATTTTTGCTGTGATGATAGATGATTGCTATCTATTTCACAAGAGGAAATAGATCCGCAGGAAGTTTCATGGCTCTTGATAGTCACCAAAAATGAAATACGCAATGCACAGAAATACTCCCTGCTGCGTTGGGACGTGGCTCAAGTGGTAGAGTGCTTGCCTACCAAGTTCAAGGTCCTGAATTCAACACTAGTACCAACAACAGAATTTTCTCTGTCATACAAAGAAGAAAGTTGATTCCTCTTGCCATAGTAAGAATCTTAGAAACAAGATTAAGTTAGAGGTACTCAAAATGGAAATGGTCTTGGAATTCCCAAATCTCTGAAAAGCTCTCTGTTTTCAACTCATGAGCCCAAGTTTCGAAATCAGTTGTTTCTGAATTGGCTAAGTTTGAAAGTTTCTGGAACCACTCCTACAACCCCACCCCAAACATCAAATTACCATAATCAACGAATGTCTCCCATTTGAAATTTCTAATCGCAACAAACAGCCCTCATCACCTGAAAAAGAGACTAGCAGCACACTTGCAACAAAATAGGCCAAGTCACCTTTTCCTTTCTCCTTACCCCAAGAGAAAAACCCAAGTATAACCTCCACTCTTGAATGGCTACCAGTTAGCAAAAAGAATGTAGAAATCCTTTGTGGATTACAAACAACCATGTAAGCCCATTTGTAACTTTCCTCTAATTTATAGTCCCAGGAAAAGATTATAAAAAAGAAAAAAAACAACAACATTGTTTACATTGCTCAGGGGACCAGTCCAGTCTCTGCTTGCCAGCCCTGGCTGGCCAGCAAAAGCAGAGAGTCCACTTCTGAGCTAGACTTCCCTCCAATGGCCAGTGCACACACTGCTGAGGCTCCACTTGAGGCCAGCTGCCTAGTTCCTCCCCAACCAGGAGAGAGCAGCAGGGCCCGCCCAGAGAGACCACAAATGAACCCTCCTTAAGTTACTACCTCCAGCTGCCCTAAGAATGACAATAAACCTGCCTTACTGGAGGAAGCAGCTATGAGGCTCCTGTGCCAAGCATCAGGAAAACATTTAGGTTCTTAGAGAATGCCACGAATGATTGGCCTTTCCACCATCAAGGAAGCCAAGGTAGTTTGGTAGCAAGCCATTACTAGGGCCCTGATCTCCCCCATTGAGGAAGTTCAAAATGCCTCTGAGGATTTTGACTTTCCAATCCCCATCCTTAAGAATAATAGGTATTGTTAAATGGACAGAGGATTGTTTTATTTAATGCTGTTTGGGGTTAGGAATTAAGATGGATGATGTGTCCGACTGTGAATTGGATGCTTCTAGATGGGGGCTTCACACATCTTCTTCCCTGAAGTCTAGACATTGCATGTCAGTGGAGAAAACTTAGGCAGCCTACCAACAAAAGAGAAGATGAGAATGAAGCAAAGATCCAGATCCCCTAACCATGCCTGAACTAGCACAGCTTCATGTTTTGTCTGTTTGCTATACTTCAGTAGAGGCAAGATTGGGTTTAACCAAAGATCTCCTGTGACAAAAAGTTGGCAAATAATTGAGGTGTATGTTAAGTTCCACATGAGCTTGTTTTGCCCTTTCTTTTAGCCTTAGAACCAGTATGCTCAAAACAAAACAAAATAAAACCAAACTAAAACTCACTTGCCAAGAGGCCTAATTGATTTGAAAATATCAAAAGAAACTTGATTCATGGTATTCCCTCAGGGCAATTAGAATCACATGAAAGATGAACAATGATTTAGTTCATTCTGTCTCCGTGTACTAGTAATTCTATAAGAAAACAGAGACAATGTTCCAGTCTTTCTGTGGTGAAGGAAGAAGGGCACTAGCCCATTGGTATTATTATCATTTCTAAGTTCCAAGGCTTCTGGATGAGTTTTCATGGACCACATAAGACTCCACAAAGGCTATTTAAAGGTGAAGCAAATCATCATTTACTGAAGACCTAGTAGGTTTCAGGGATTATTCTAGGCACTCTTCATAAATTTATGTTATCTAATACGTTTCATGTCATCCTCAGTTTTGAACAGGAAGATGTTATTAACTCCACTTGACAAAAAAAATGGAGAAACTAAGACCTCAAGGTTTTGGTGACCTGTCCAAAGTTATGTATCAGGTCTTTTGATGATGCACTTGGAGTTGGTAGCAAATATACCGAAATTTAAGCAAGTCATTCTGAAAGTCTGTTTTCATATAAATAAAATGAGGAGTAAAATCTTGGAGACTTGCAACCTCTTCCATACCCAACCCTAGAAGCAGTTAGACAAAACAAACAATCAACTGGGCTGTCCTATATATAAAACTACACATATTTGCTAGAAAGATTAAGGACAACCACTATTCTCAGTACCACTTATTGAACAGGATGTCCTTTCCCAAATGTTTAAGGAGACAGATAAGCTAAATATCCTGATAAATATCCTGAGATGATCTTGGTACAATGTTCACCCATGCCAAAATATAATCCTGTATCTTACAAATTTTAAAAATGAAGTAAACAGGCAAGTTAAAAAAAAAAACGAGTCCAATATATAAGCAAAAGCTAGGGTTGCATAGAAACAAGATTCTTGATCACAGTTTACTAGGAATGTGGGGAGAATTAACAGAAAATAAAGTGTGCAATGAATGAGTGAATGAGTGTAGGATAGATTCCAAGAGCTACTTGAATACCAAAGTATCTGTGGTGTCAGGCACGGTTGGGAAAGTTTCAAGAAGATGAGATGACGGAGGATGTGTATGGACAATGTAAGAACAGGAGGTGTCAGGCCGGGCTGTCAGACAGATTGCACTTTAACAGCAGGCCACTATGTCTGATCCTTACAGACAAGCCCACTGGCTATGGCTCCAGCAGTCGGAGGGCACCTCAAACAGGCATCGTGGATGAGTGCTGCTTCCGGAGCTGTGATCTGAGGAGGCTGGAGATGTATTGTGCTCCCCTTAAGCCTGCCAAGTCTGCCCGCTCTGTCCGTGCCCAGCGCCACACTGATATGCCCAAGACTCAGAAGGTAAGTCTCCATAGGTGGGATCCAACCATCTCCAAGTAATCTCTGTCTTGGATGAGCCAAACAGAAATTCAGCACCATAGTTTTCCTGGCTGAGGACAAAAAACATCTCCATTCCCACCAACAAGATGGATTATCTGTCCATCCTTATGATTATTCTCTGTTGTACTGCTCTGGTAATCTAGGAACTAGAAGATGGTTTAAAAAAAAACATTGAGTAAACATAGGCTTTGTATGAGACAAATCCTGAAGTCACCTGCTGTGAGGCTCCTGGGCCAAATAACTTATCCTACCCAAGATTCAGTTTTATCTGTACATAATGACATCTACCACAACAGAATGTTGTCAAAATTAACTAAGTTAATGTGTATACTTCAATATGCTTTTCATATGCTTGCACAAAATTACTATTGGGAAGGGATTAATATCTGTCATAACTGACCTTAATAACAAAACATGTCAGTCTTGGGATTCTGCAGTGGTGCCCAGAGAAACAAGAGTATCTAGCGGAAATTAACTGAAATTGGCAAATATCATTTAAGCTCATTGATAATAGAATTTTCTGTGATTTAAAGAACACTTAGACCTTTCTAATAATCAAAATTTGCAGAAGTCTTTTTTTCCACAAGTGTGACTTTATACCAACCTGGGAAGTACCAATGATAACAGCAGAAACACATAAAACATATGATATACATTGGTCATGTGACAGGCTTTTGTTGAATGAGTGAGCAAAATAAATGCATATCAAGATCAAAATAAAATGTTAATCTTCCAGAAGAAATAAGAGCTAAAGAAAAAGAGAGAGAGAAAGAAAGAAAGAAAAAGAAAGAAAGAAAGAAAGAAAGAGAAGGAAAAAGTAAAAGAATATGAGTAAAGAAAGGACACTTTAGTCTCTTGGGGGACTTTGTTAAAGAAAAATAAAAAACAACATATGGTATTAAACTTTAAAGCCAAAACTAACATTGCTCAGAAAGTAGTACATAAGTTAAGGGTATAGATGGGATTGGTAGGGATAAGGGACAACAATGAAAGTGGTAACAATGGTCAAGATCGCTGCATTGGACTCCTAATCTGATTTGTTGAATTGAAACCCATTTGGTACAACTACTTAAAATCAATTAAAAAAATAAAGACAAGACACCCAATAATTCGTGACATCTGTGCTGCCTCCTGGTCCTAAATCACAGCGAAGGCTGAAGAAGGACCATGGAGGCTTAGTGGCAGCATCACCCTAGGGCTTACAAGGGGACCACTTAGGGCCTAGAACACACAACACACAATACCCAACAGTGAAGCAGTAAGCAACAGCCACAGAAGAAATTGGTGTAACCAGGCAGGAAGGTGCACAAGAAGAGGCAAAAGCATGTTCATTTTTTCTGTCCCCATATGAACCTGTGCCTCTCAATGTCTAGGCTGGGGAGGAAGTGGGTGTCAGAGATGAGTCCCAAAGTTCTGGAATGCCAGGACTCATGACTAAGGTATAGATCCCTCTTCAGTGCCAATGCTGTCTTCTGCTACCTGTGGAACCTGGGCATCCTGGGCTGACTCAGAGACTCTGTCTTCAGGGACACCGTGGGAACGAACTATTCTCAATGCAATTGTTTTTGTGATGTTTACAGTCTCAGCCCCCATCTTCCAACAAGAAAATGAAGCCTCAGAGGAGAAGGAAAGGTGGGCCAAAGACACACCCACGAGGGGAGCAGCAAGAGGGGACAGAAGCAAGTCAGCCTATCAGAGGAAAGAAGAAAGAGCAGAGAAGGGAGACGGGAGCTAGGAACTGTGGACACAAAGACACAGAAGGAAAATGGAGGACAGAAGGACTAAGCAGACAGAGACCAGGATGAGAGAGGAACAGACAGCAATACAAAAAAGCAAGAAATATTGGAAAGGAAATGAAGAACAGTAGCACTGATGAAGCTAGATGATGCATGTTTTGAAGTAGAAGTAACCTGTTGTTGAATCCAGCTAATAAACATGAGGAAACAAATGGAACAGGAAAATTGAATGCCTGAGAAAATGCAAAGAATGTAGGGAGGCGGCGAGGGGGGGGGAGACAAAATCAAAAAGAAAACAAAATTATAAAAGAGGCAGACAGACAGACAGACCCTTCCCTTTTCCTTCCACCAAAATAGAAAGAACTCAATAAAAATCAAGGCTTCCATGTGCTTTTTAAATTTTTATACAACTCTGTTATAGAAGAAATGGCCCATGTCAATATATGTTCAGAGTTAAATATTAGCCTTAAGTTCTCAGCAAGACTGAGTTGTGTCATGGAAGTTCCCAGATTTCCTTCCCTGCAATGTCACTAGAGGCTGCGGTTTCTTAGTCAAGTCCAGGGTTGAGGCCAAAGGGCATCAGGTACTTACATAAAGGCCTGTGACGTAACCTCTGAGAGGCCACTGAACTGTTTTCGCTTTATCTCTCCACGTTTTCATATTCAATGTACAAGGCGTATTCATTTGCTAAGGTTACCATCACCAAGAACCACAGACTAAGTGACTTCAATCACAGGAATGCTTTTGCTCACAACTCTGGAGACTGGAAGTCCAAATTCCAAGTATCAGAAAGGATGTGACTCAAGTGTTTCCTGAATCTCTGTTACCTTCCCTTTGTTTATCTCCCTGTACCTAAGTATCTTCTTTCTTGGACATCAGACAGACTGGGTTAGGAGAGACCCTCACTTAAGGACTCCTACACAGACCCTATCTCCATGAAATATGAAGGGTGGAACCTTAATTGGGATGGGGTGGTGGGAAGCAGACACAATTCAGTCCATAAAGACGACTTCTGATGTCCAAATACAGCTCTTTGATTATGTATCTGAAAATCCACTCCTTTGCCTCTCCTCCTCTTTCTCCTCCACCTCTTCTTCCTCCTCTTCTCTCTACCCCCACCACACATACTTTCTTTTTCTCTTTTTGACCATCTTCTCACTTCTCCCAGCCCCTTCATATGCATACAGACTTAGAATACTTTATATCTACAACCTAAGAGTTTCTATTTTCTAAAAGACCAAGGCTGTATTGTTAGAGCTAGAAGAGGCTTCAGAATTCAATTGGCTTGATCCCTTCATTTTAAAGACAAGGACACTGAGCTCTCGGAATGGGTAAAGATGTTCTTAGACACTAAGCCTGTTTCCTTCCCACCAGCAGACAACAGCATAATCAAAATAAAATCAACTAAGAGAATTTCAAAAGGAAAGGAGGGGGAAGAAATGGACATATGAAGTCTGATGAAAATGATTTGACAGTTTTCTGGTGGAGAAATAAAGGAAGTGAATAAAACAGGAATTCCAGTTTTCCCTGAAGATGAAGAAAAGCAAAGCAGAATCACAGAAATTAGGTTGTAGATAGCATCTCCTTCACTTCCTTTGACTTAAACAACTGGAGATGAATCTTCATAGAAAATGAACCAAAACCTCTCAGTAGCATTCAGATTGTGCATTGTAGGTGCTAAGAAGGAGTACAAGAGAGAAGTGCTCAAGGAAGTAAATGATGACACTTGGGGATGAGAAAATGGTGCAAAACCAGGCAAAATATTTCACCCAGGTAGCCCACATTGAAGAAGTCATGATATAAAGAAACGTCCTTCATGCTCCTGCAATGCGTTCTACTTCAGGATGCTCCTTCTTCAATGCCTCACTGACAACCTGGAATCTCTCCAATGTCATGGCAATGCCCAAAGCTCAATCCAGGAGGAAGAGATACAATGAAGCGTGGCAAAGCTTATATGGGAGCCAGACTACTGCAGCTCTGTTTGAGAAGTGGATCCTGCTTTCTCAGACTAGACAAAAGCCATGCTGCTATCATCTGGCCAGTCATCTTATTCAGAGGTTGAGTTCCATTAAGAAAACATGCTTTGGGGGCTTGTTTCAGGCACAGGCTAAGAGTACATTTATCACCTTCGCAGAGCCTGCAAACACATATGGCTCTTCCAGGGACTACAGCTCATCAGAAGCATTCAAAGTGTATGTTCTGTGGAAAGGTTTGGACAAACTATAAATGTTATTCAAGAACTTGAACAAAACAATAGAACATTCTAGTTAGAGCCCCTTTAATCCCAAACAACGTATTAAAATATACCTCTTCATATTGTAGTTTTTCTCAACTCTGAAGCAACTCTTGCAGACCTGTACATGATCATCATATAATAGGAACTAAAATTCCAAGTGCTAGTGGCTCCTAATTGTAATCCTAGCTACTTAAGATGTTGAGGTCCAAAGGATTGTAATTTGAAGCCAGTCTGGACAGAAAAGTCTGCAGGAGTCTATCTCCAAAATAACTGGCAAAAAGCCTGGTTGGAGGTATAGGTCAAGTGGTAGAACTCCAGCAGGGTAAGCAGGCCAAGCAAACAAGGCCCTTAGTTCAAACCCTGATGCTGACAAAAAAAAAAAAAAGAAGTAGAGTAAAATAGCACCTTTCATCTCCTTTCCATTATTGATATCATGTCATAAGTCTTGGGTCCATGGAATATAATACTAAATGAATAGATACATAGATAGATGGGAAGATGGATGGATGGGCGGATAGATGGCTAAATGACAGATAAATAGATGAACAGTGGGTGGATTAAGGGGTAGGTTGACAGATTCAGGCAGATGCATCATGGTAGGAAACAGATCATAAAAATAAGTCACCTAGCTAAGATAAAATAATCCTGTTCTTTCTTCATAGGATAGCAAAGAAAGTACAGAATAAGCTAGGAAAGGCAAAGGAGATTTGTTAACAGAAATTTCATCTGTTTGAAATGTCCTTCTCTAGCCTAAATTGAAATTGTTCAAGGACCTACCCCAACAGGTTGAAGCTGGCTAAACACTTTATATTGAATGTTATTCATTGATTAGTCCCTTCAATGTTTTATTGAAGTGAGTTGAATATTAATAATTATTTAAAATTTCTCTTTCAATTTCAAATGCTTCTCTTAAAGAAAATGGATGATCGTGTATAAAGCTAATTGGGATATATATATAGTTTCATGATCCTGAAATAAAATTATTGGAA